CATCTTCCCATGCGTTCGTCGTGCCAGATGGATTATATGTTCTTACTGTATTGATAAATTCTCGCCTTATATTCCGAATGCCCATATCAATGATCTGATCAGCCCACAGTTCATATGGTGTTTTCTTGCGTGGTTCGGAGTATTTTGTCGTTGCTTTACTCGATTTTTCCTAGATTAATTGCATCAAGAATGGAAATTTTTAATTTTACTGCCTTGTATAAGATATTGCATTCATTAGGAAATGAAATGAAGAATATGAAACTGGCTAATAGAATAATGTTAGCTTTATTGTATGGTTAAGGGCACATATGAGGAGATTATTTTTCAGTGATCGCTTAATCGCTGAAAATATTCTAATTCTTTTCTATATTTGATACAAAATTTGTGCTAATCTAAAATAAAAGTTTTGTCAATTGTTGAACTAGAATTCATTGCTAAATTTAAATGAGGAAAACTGGAATATTTCCACGAAACAGGTGGAATGCTATATTAAAACAGTACCACACCTTACTGGTCTCTGGTCTAGCTGGTCTGATTGCTACAACTTACCGCTGTTTTGTGAACAAATTTTTTTCCAATTGGAGCTCGATAGTCGCCTTGAATTATATGGCGACGAACAACACCCTTCGACTGTTTCCTATCATCCAATGAACAAACCATCCTTCCCTTAGTTGTCGTTGGTCGCTAAAAATATATTCCAATTCATATTATTCAAAATTTTTGCTTATATTTATTTGTCACTCTCATTTCTTGTCAGATTAATCATCGCTTTTCATTTCTTAATAACCAACCTTTTTTAGCGGCATTTGCTTTCTAGCATATGTATTTTAGTTGCAACAAGCGAACACAAATTATGGAAAATTAGAAATAACTTCAAATAATTTCATTTCTATTTTTAAGGCTCGATAAATTTGCATAATGCATATTAGATATAGAAAAATTCAAAATATTTACAGCAAGACTTCATGATCTATCGCATCCAATATGATTTTTCAAAAAGATTTACATGGAATAAAGTGCATGACCTTAGTATTGTTAGAAGGCATAAATTATTTTTGGTACTTCGTGAACATATTTGCAGCACAGTAATCTCTGTTTTGTCGCATGATTTGAATCCTTATCTACTTTTTTTATACTAAACAATTAAACTTTAAGACTTTAATTCGTTTTTTTCAATAATTACATTTGGCATATTTCATTATTTATTAAAGGTTTCAATAATAATTTTCCGAAATTGTTTTTATTTAAACTATCTTGGTTATGTTAAACGTTAACGATCACTTCCTGAATTAGTCTCCATTTAACAATGAATGAGAACTATAAAGATAGTGAAATTGTTCAATTTGTAAGATCGAATAATATCGTTTTGACTGCTTGCAATATTATTTAATCAGTAAAGGAAATGACAAAAAAAGAGTTTTATTTTTCGATATAAATGAATAAATGACAAGTCCAATTTGAAATTTGATGCATGAGCTTAGATGTAAAATAAAATTTTTTAAATTATATGCACTGTTAAATTTTGAATGTATTAGAACTTCTCAAATATTCTAATTACCTATTTAAATCCTTTTTAGAGACAAATAATCAAAAAATTAATTTAGGCATAAGTAATTTCAAAATCTATTACATTTCTGGTCTTCTTTTTCGTCAAAAAATGATTAATAAGTGCAAGTCATCACGGATAAAAAATTTGTTGCATATGAAATTAGACATTTTTTGCAGGGTGCACAGAAGAGATTATATATTGCATCCCTATGATGATTTCATGCACAAAATAACTGTCAGCGCAATTAACATAATTCTGCTTCTTGCAGCCGCTGCTGATTTTGTTCTTCTTGCAGGTTGGCATTCCTGAAACGAAAAAAAGATATATTATTTTAATTTCTGATTTTGGTTTCAAATTCGATTTCACTTCCAATTCTATAAATCTATAACTGTCCAGCGAAATTGTTCTACTGGAAAAAAAACTCATTGCAACATTTTTCAAGCTTCCTAAACCACAGAAAAATGGAAAATTATTTCTGAAAATTGTAATAGAAAAAAAATTTTTGAATTTTAAGACTCGAACATCCTCCTTGGACCACAACAATCTATTTTCTCGTCATTTGAACAAATATCTAGAAAATTTAGGAATTTTATTTAGAAAATTAACAAAGTTTTGTGTGAATTAAATAAAGAAATCCTATGTTAGTCTCTTTCGAAAAAGCGGAAGTGTTACTGATTGATCAGATCATTCCACTATCAATTAATGCTCATCATATTGGTTGACAGGAGGGTATTTTGTCTCACACAAAGATCTACCGAAAAAAAAATGAAAATGAAGCATACGTTATTCATCTTTAATTGAGTGTCAGATGAAGATGGAAATAAATCTGTCAATTTAGGTTGCTCATCCGTTCCGGAAGGCATATTCCGTTGCTGTTTTTCCTGCTGCGGAGGCATAAGCGCGAAATTCATTGGTTTCATGCCACTTATTCCACCAAATACAGGTTGTTGTGGTATATACTATGAAGACTGTTATTAAAAGAGACGTAGAAAACTACAGATATGATAAAGGAATTGTAAATGGCTAACATTTGCTAAAAGCGGAATGGGTATTTGTTGATGAGCATAAAATGTATCCTGAAATGATTGCATTGGTATTGGTACCACTGCTCCTGTTTTCTAAAATTAAATACTTGAAATGAGTGAGAAGATATGACATTTTGCTTTCTGCCAAACTAATAGCAAAATTGAAAGGTCTATAGAAAAATGTAAGATTTCCAAATATCTCCCACTATTAATATTTTTTTAATTCAATTAGAGGAACAAAAAGCTCAGAATAAAACGCTTTCTGCACAAAACTTATTCGAAATTTTAAGATTTTTAGAAAAAGTATAAATTTCAAAAATTAAACATCGAAACAAGATGGTTGTATTAGATCATAATTTGCAACTTCATCTGGCGACAATATACTGGCCGGTAAGTCTGTTGGATGACAAATATTTGCAGTTGATAAATTGAATTCTTCCACATATCCAAGTTTTCGAAGATATTCGATTGCTGCCTTATCGTCCAGAGGTACTATCACTTCTGCTAAAAATTTCTCATTTCTCAGATCCTCATTTGCTTCATAATACTTCAATCCTTTTACTTGAATACTGGTCATCAATGTTGGTCATTAAATTTCCCATTTTGTAGAAATTGATTCGGAATAAAATCGAACTTTAAATGAAGACAAATATGAAGCTTTTAATTTGAAAATAATGAAATATAGGTTGAATTAGTAATACGCAAATCATTTACCCATTTGTCGTTTCCGGCGCCGGTTTCTTATGTGAAACGCACCTAAAAAGCAATACTTGACAGTAATTAAACCTGAATCTCTAGTCATAAATTGCAAATATTTACAAAAGTGCAATTTTAATATAGAAGTGAATAAGAATAAGTGAAATGAAAATAATTTAAAGGAATGAATACCGTCAGAGAGATCTGCATTTCATTTTTATGAAATATCTTCAAAAAATATCAGTAAAACAATGTAACATAAACGAAATTTTTCTTTCAATGAACAATGCTACGAAATAAATTCAAAAATTGTTTTTAAGCATGTGCAAAGCAAAAATTTTACTAATAACTTAAATCTACAAAATGTATTTGAAATAAAATTTTTTAGCAAGTTTTATACACAGTAGTAATGCTTTGCAAATTCTGATTTTAGAAAACATATTTGCGATTAAAGTCAAGAATTGTTTACCTGAAGTGATAGGACATGGTAAAAGGTGACGAATTTGTACATTGCATGGACAGTGGTCAACAGGCATTACTGGACAATTTGTTGAAGTTGTTGGACAAGGACAAAGAACACATTTCCGTATCGGGAGTACCATTTTTACAGTCTTTGACCTAAACTCTTATAATTCGAGCATGTATTTTATCGCCAGAAAAAAACTTTACTACATATGCATGCTAAGGCAAATTGGAAATGCAAAACGTATCTGTGAAGAATTGATAACTTTTAAAGCTTTCAAAGTATTGATTTTTGCATTCTTTATTTTGAATGAAATTTAAATTTAATATGTTGATTTTAGAGTAAAAGTTTCGGCTAGTCGTGTTGAAAGGCGTAACTGTATTGGATTTAAAAAGTGTGCATGACCTGAACTTTGGCGTTGTTAATTTCTCATTGCAGATTTCCTGAAAATATTTTAAATTACCTCATCAGTAAAATGAATTATTTTCAAATTATATATATATATATATATATTATTCCTTGGAAATATGTGGACAATGCGATACTTTCTTCTTGCAAGTGAATTCGAATAAAACATCAAAAAAAAAAACAGACAATCGATTTTTTTCAGGTATGGAAAGAATATATTCTTACTGCTACAACTAAAATAGATAATTCTTCATTGTTTACCTCCTTGACAGTATCATTCTTCCCGGGGCAATTGTTTTTGCAGCATTCCAAAATTTCGTCAACTTTTTTTTGCAAATGATGCAATTTTTGCATTACGTCAACTTCCAAATTTTGATTTTTAATGGATGATGCTGTTGATTGAACCTAAAATCAATGGAATTTCGACAAAAGAAATGTAATTTTTCCACAATTCTTGAATTTTCTAAAGAATAAAGTCAAAGGTGGTAACCTTTGACCTTAATATACTAGTAGTGAGAGTGCATAAAATTATGCTTATTTAAATGCTATTATATAATAATGAGCGCAAATGGTTTCTGTCAATAAAAAAGGTCGATTCTCATTTTTCCAATAAAAATAAAGCAAAACTCCTATTAAATAATGTGTGAAAGATGCTTAATTTCAATAGTTTTTCGTGACATGAAAAGATCAACAACTTACATGTGTTGAACTGCTAAATGATTTTAAGTTTGGAGCTGAAATGAATTGATTTTACAGTGGTAAATATGATATAAACAAAAAATAAAGTATCCTTTAAAAATATTACCAATGAAAAAAAATTTATTCTTTTGCTTTTTAAAAAGTTCCCAATTTAATAGTTAAAAATGAATCAGTTTGAATAAAATACATACAGCTTGTCCTAAATTGTTCTTCGGTAGTGGCTCCACGATGTGCAAAGGCATTCTGTAGCAGTAGTAAGATCAGTGTAGCAATTCGTCTCATACCTGTAGCATTGAAATTTATATAAATTTATGGTAGTTTAATTTGTTAGCCATTCAATTAAAATCATCATGGAAATCATTAAAATTGACCAGATATTGGCGAAATCAACTCGTGAGATGCAAATATATCCTTAACAAAATCCATTCCTATTACTACTTGACGTATTTTAAAATTGTAAATTTCTTAATAGTTAGCTTTTAGAAACACAATTAAGTCAGTTTACAAAGACTTGGCAAAAATTTTTGAGAGTATAAGTTGAAGAAAAAAATTCATAAATCAAATGTTCTTTTCTTAAGATGAATAGAATTATATTCTCTAAAGTAATAAAATAACGCAGAAAAATGTCATATAAATTTATAAAGTAAAAGATTAAATATAAGTGCCGTCAAAGATAAGAATTAAAACTCAAAAAATTTAGAAACGGTAGTTTTTTTAAAAACTGTTGAAATATGAAATTTGGAAAGAAAATGGCTAATTAACCACCGTAATTTTATTAGGAATGGTAGTGCCAGAACTAAAAAAAAATAAAGTAAAGTTTGGAATGTGACTGGATAGAAAGGGTAAAAGGATCGAAAGTGGCGTTTGTTGCAAAGATGCTTGTTTATTGTAGAATATGACAAATAGCAGATGAGCCATCATTTTTACAATTTTTACTATTTCATTCCATCCTTCTTTCTTTTTTTCGTCTGTATTTTGAAAAAATTCGTATTATATTTTTGTTATTCATTAAATGTTGGCAATTCCATTTATTTGAGAGAATGATGGTTGGATGGTTGTCTGTAAATGACCACCCAAAAAAACTCATCCATCTTAGCATTGTATAAAATTTACAAAAAAAAAATTTTCTAGTGGGGTTTAGATGTATTTCATAATAAAATGCTATGAATTATATTCAATTAGTTTATTTATACTTGTAATAACTTGAAATTTGCATCATGGTGATTATGCATCAATAAAATTTGCTAATTTAACAAAAATAATTATTTATGGCATAGAAATTTTTTGTCTTTTCAACAACCTTTATATGGCACACAAAAACTTTTTGGAATCGTTAAACATATTCCTAAAATTTAAGAGCACTACGAAAATGAACAAATTTGCAACTAACCTAAAATTATATCATAACTATAATCATAATAACTATGAAAGAAACTAATTCATACTTCACGGGCTTTAAATAATATATATCCTTTAATTATTCGATTTCCATTAATCAAAATAATATTAAATAACTTTGGTTTAATATGTAAATGTTAGATGTAAATGATGAAAGAAAATGATCATTATTTGAAATTGACTCTCAAAATTAAATATCCTTGCACTTCTAATTTTTCATTTCTAGTTAATTTTTCTTAGAAAAAAGAAAAAAAATTGCACAATTATTTATAAATAAAAAAGTCAAATATTTTTTTGGATAGCAATTTACCGTGTGAGTTTGAGGCAGCAAAAAAAAAAGACAATTAAGGATGTTGTAATCCGACAGAAAAAAGAATTCCCAAAATCGTTATCTTACCGATTCTATTTTTTTCGTCGCATAGATTTTCTTATGGAAACAAAAAACGTTTTATTTATTTCTTTGCTTAGCGAAACCCATTTTGTAATATCAAAATCTTCATTTTCACTCGTAATCTGCTTCTCCTTCATTTCTTCTGGAGGTCAAGAATTTACCAATCAGAGATCAGGTAAGATAACAGGGGGAAAAAGTTGTGATTGTTCGTTACTGATAGTACCTATCAGACAGATCTACCGCCCTTCTTCTCCTTCAACATTTTTGTTCTCATTCTCTTATTCAACATTCTATTTAAATATGCATTTGGCGGTTAACTCCAAGAAAAAAAAAGCACTCAATTGCTGATACATTCATTTATTACCAATCGTTGCAAACTTCATTGTTTCTAATATTTTTGGATGTGTTTGACGATCGATCCTATATCCTTTCCGTAGACAATCCTAAACTTTGTTCCCCATTTAAACAAAAAGCTTTAAATTTGATAGAAAAAGCTATGAAGATGCATGCTATGAAGAGAAATGAAATATTTTTCCTCCTCAAGATTTTGCTTGAGGTTTGCAGTTACCTAAAATTTGCAGAAATTTGATTTCCACAATAAGTGTATTACAGGGGAACAACAAGTTTTTTGATTTTTAGAAGTAATTATTCGACATATATTAAAAGTAGTTCTAAATAAAATTCGACTTTGTAAACTGTTTTTCTTGATAATTTTATGATAATTTGCAATGACGATAGGATGATGATAATCTTTCATTTATTAAAAAATAATATTGTAAAGAATAATTTTTCAGAGTGTTATCGAATATGAAGTAAACTGCGTTTAAATTTCATTGTAAAATCACCGTTGATATGTCATATTCGAAGCACTTAGGTCAAATTCAAAGGTCAGTTACATTGATTAATTTTTATTTTTCATTTCTTCAGTTCTATAAATTCTCTGAGAATTTTGGATGATTAAAAAATTTTTGTTTTCGTATCAAATGCAAGCAACACATCAAAGAAGGCCATATTTTTGGTGTCATCTTGAAATTATACAAATGTAATTTCTTTTTTTGCTACTCAACTAAATAAAATATCCGGACATTAAGATATATTATATACTATCTCTAAAGCTAATCAAATGACGAAAATTCAATTCCTTTACCAAAAAAGGGATTTTTGTGAAAAATGTTCTTCGTTATCAGTGCAATTTTTGCGAAACAAATACTCATCGTTAATGCAACCGTGATGAATGTCTTCACAACAATTCTAAGCCGCCAAATTGAAAATGCTAATTAGACGAGCAGCAATTACCGTAGCCATCTTTCGATAACAGTACGAATTCTTTCCAATCTTCATTTTTAGTGAGAAAGAAGAAGAGATATTTAGAACAATAAAAGGGTGTTTAGTCCTGTAATAAGATGGATAAGCATGATTCATGCAACTCCTCATATGGATATACGGATAGGTTAATTTAATATGTATAATTAAAATACTTAGATGCTCATTTGTCTCATTCATTCTTTCCTTCAAAGCAATTATAAAGGAATTAACGAAAAGTAAAATTATAATTTAATATTGATGAAATATAATTTTTGGTCATTTTAAATATCCACAGAAAGAAAATGTTTACTTTTATAAAATTCAAACAAATTCCATGAAATTTTATTTTTCTGCTAATACATGATTTTTTACATCGTTCTAAACGTCAATGCTTCTAAAATATTGAGACTTCTTCACTTTCTTAACTTTTATTTTGCATGCTATTCTGCAAGAAAGATATACGTATACTTTTGCTGATTACTTAAATGGATCAATTTTATCGTGCTAACATGCAGACATGCATGTTAGCACGATAATGCAATTTATTGATGCAATTTTTTCATTTTATAATAATCTTGAAAATGTCATTTTTTTAAAAATTCATTTGAATTTTGCTGTTTTGATTGACGAAATAGGAACAGTTAAAGTGATTAGTAACTGATTCTGTCACTCAAATTTAATGTGTTTAAGTAGTTTGAGCTCAAATTTTTTGAAAAAAATATATGTATGTGTGTATGTGTGTGTATCACATCGGAATGATGCTGTTCAAAATATGATTGAAAACTTGGCGGAAATATTTCTTGACGTAGATGGAGAGACAGCCAATGTAGTTGTGTCTCTGTGCCGATATGCATGGAATGTATGTATAAGTGACTCCGATTTTCGGGAGTCAGTTATAATTGCTACTGAGCTTAAGCCAACGATTTAAATCCACCCTCTTTTCCTTTTTTATTTTTAAATTGGACACAATCGGATGTAATTTGCTTTTGGAAACAGGAAAAACGTTTCTTGGATGAAATTCTCTTTCAAACAAAATCTTAGACAATTATTTTCTCCTAAAATTTTACAGGCTCATTTTACATTTTACTTGCCTTCAAAGAACTGCTGAATTTTTTTGACTCACAAGACTAAAAGTAAGTTGCTTAAGAAAGTTAATTTCGATTTTCCATTAGTTCATTATGTTTGTTTAAGCATATACTGATGAATATAGTGCATTGGATTCTTTACTTTTTGATACATCTTTCAATCACTGCCCAATTAAGTCCGCTTGACCATTGCTGCCGGTGATTCCCGTAAAATATTGAGACAATAACTCATGATTCGTTTCTACAGTACGTCAATTAGCTATTTATTGCTTGACGGTCAATTTTCCCAATCTCTTCAATACGTCAACCAAATTTCAAATATTTCATTTATAAAATTTTTTCAAAAAAATATTTAAAAGTCTTGGGTGAGAAGATTTTGTCCGCCTTATCAAAATTAGTCCCTTATCACTGCCATAAACCCATAAGCTGATATTTCAAACAGTTTTCTAACTGTTATTCAATATATGCTATGATCAACCGAAGATTTTTTCACTTATTTATCTAACATTCACGACGTAAAATGCATTCTGTTGACTATTGAAAAAAAGATGAAATGTAAATATTCCAACTCTCAAACGTTTTATTTTCAATTGTTCAATTCATTATTTCAGTTTCAGATTATTCTTTCTTTCCTTTCAATTTTTCTGTTTTTTTATTCATATCTTAATTCTTTCTATTTTCAACTTTTGACATTTCATTTTTCAATGCATTGAACTGTAAAATAAATAAATGTACCGTGCTACTGTAACTTTCTTGCCATTTTTGCTAGCATTTTGGTGCACAGAATGGTTTTCCTCAAAATTTGTTTTCAAATCTTTAGGTCATAGTTTTAGATTTAATTATAGTCGGAAGAAAAATTGCATCTGAGATATACCGTTCTCAAATCGGAAGAAAATAAAGATTTTACATTTTCATCAATTCCAATTTATCCATCACGTGGAAATACAAAGTAATGGCGTATTTTGAGAAGACAAAAAAATAACTCAAAACACTGAACGATGCATTGTCAGTGCACCATATTCTTCATAATGATCATTAATTACTATTAGTATCGAGTATCTGATTGTTTCATTTACGTTTAGAATCATACGTCTGGTAGTGAA